TCAGCTAGTCCGGGACTTGAGGTCATCCTCAACGGACACCATGGTTAACCTCCTAGTATCTCTGGTAAGGGTTGCCTGTTTCTGAGGACACGTTCCGTTGGATGGTTTTCAGGTGAACCAATTCTAAGACATATTCCTTTGGGTGTTGTTCCTTTGTAAGGAGTCAGTGCCGCCTTTGGGAGTTTTAAAGGGAACCCGAAGGGAAACCACAGCCTAATATGGCTATGAGTGTACATAGGAAACCTCAAACGTGGTTGGTGGACATGACTCCCCACCAAATTTTGGATGTCCCCCATGTCGGGTCATCCAAAATTCACACCCATATATATATATATATACACATTATATATATATATATTTGTATATATGCACACATCCGGGGAACACTGCAGCACCGGCTTCAATCCTTCGCACGTCTGAGGCGCTGGCGCGAGGACTTGCTCACTCTTCAGCGCCGCGACCTCCACAGATATCTGCCCCGCGACCCAACTGGGGGAGGGTGGGTCCGTCGGTCCGTCGGGAGGTGCCAGGCCCGGCGGGTTGAGTTGCTCCGGTTTTTCAGTGAATTTCCCCCCTAAACCCCCCCACCCCACCCTCTTTTTCCCAAGCTTCGTTGGGTTTCTGGGGGATTTAGTTTGAGGCTTGTTGGTTTTCAAGTTTCCAGCTGGGTTTCTGGTCGGGAAGCCCTCAGTTTCTCCTCTCGGTGGGAGGACCCTTGCGTTGGGTTGCTTTGGGTTTCCTGAAGTTTCTTTTGCGCGGGTTTCCCGAACTCGTTCCTGGAGTTTGGGGCAGTTCAAGCACGCCTTGTTCATATCTCGGGAAATGCGGCAGTCATGGCTGCAAGATAGGGCCAGGGCTCATTTTCCAACATATTTCTTGTGTTTAAGGGGAACCCAAGGACAAATACCCACATGCGGTCGTTTAGAGCGGCAGCCACAAGGGCATCCAGTCTGCTTTCCCACCGTTTCAGGGGACCCGTTGAAGGAGCTGCCCAATATTTCTGGCTCCGGATGGATGGCCCAGCTTGCGCTTGGCAATGGGCCGAGAATTTCGGGGGATGTTTTGTGATTTGGTTGAGTCTTTTTAGAAGGTTTTCTGGGTGTTCACCGGGGCACCGGGGTTTTGACCCATAGCCATTTGACATTTGGACAGTGCCGGACTTGGGCCCGCCAAATGCAGCTGGTGCTAGACATTTCTGGGGGATGTGTTGGGTTGTTCCCCTTCTTGCTTGGATCCTTTGGTCGTTCAACTTGTATGATCTCATCGTCAATTAGCGCAGGGATATTTGAAGCTTCATATACAGATGCCATCAGCGTACCCAGCCCAGCAGGTAGTATGGTCACTGTCCGGAGCCTTGAGAGTCAGCTTCCTTCCCCTTTCGAAGGGCAAGCAACAAGAGCGTTCCACCAACCAAAACGAGTGCAGCCATGAGATTCACCACCAACCATGTCATGTCTAACGACTTAGGTGCCAGCCTGCAAACTCTGCTGGCCACTTGAAGAACGCCTGGGTGCAGAATAATAGACGTCTTACAGTCTTACATGTACACATACACGGCATGTGAAACTTCCTCCTTGGGCATCTATTGCGCCTGGAACGCGTTGTTCGGTGACGCCTGCCACTTTGTCAACTGTTTTGTTGAGTCCGTATTCGCAACCATCTCACTTCAGGGTTCACCTTTTCCCCCCTCCATTTTCATTTTGTTTAAGAACATGTTGGGAGGAGCACTTGGTTGTTTCCCAACCAATGGGGCTCCAACAGCAAACCCTGGACTTGTGTTCCATGGTGCTAGCTCATGTTTTCGTGTTTTTCCTTTCTTTCTTTTTTTCGGCCCATGTACGTGTGCAAGTGGGTTTGCAAGTGTGGAACCGCATGCTTTTCGCTTTTGCGCTGCGCGTGTGGATTCGCTTCAGGCCATCTCCGCGAGCAGGGGGCCCCAAGGTGTCGGGGCTGACTCCACCAAAACACCCAAACATGGGTTTCCCCCGAAAAGAAAGACGTGAATCGGGTCACCTGAAATCCCACAGAAAGGCGGGTTTTCCGCGAAAAGATCAACAGAGGTGCCTTCCGAGCTACTGCAAGGAGGCAGCCAAGATCTAGGTCCGCCCAACACTGAGTCCAGTCAAGTGACCGTTTTCGGTTCCAAGTTAGTTTGTATGGAGGGCTGGTCAACCGTCATGGATGAGGCCATTTTCAAAGAACACACACATATGGGGATTTGTTTTGTGGGTTTCGCTGGATCCCCGTCGGCAAAACACACATGCGCCTGGCGCCTGGATTGAGTACTGGCTTTGGGTTCGCACGGGGCCAAGCGATGGTGCCGAAAAAGTGGTCGCTTTGCGGAAGCGATGGGATTTGGGAAAGGGGGAGCAGGAACTTCCTGGTTTGCTCGCTCACGCTTAGGTTTCCAGATGGCTGCAGCTCAGAACCAAGGACCCAGGCGCTTCGGACATGTGCAACTTCATGGGAGAAGCCAAGAGTGGTGGTCGTAATTTGCATGAGGATTTATGTCCACAACCATTTTGAGGGTGTTTCCTGTCAGCCAAGTGGGGTGTTTTGTTGATGCTGTCAAGGGGTTGCCAGCGAGCTTTGGCATTTTGAAAGCACTGCGGATTCATCAACCTCGTGGTTTTCGCTAGCGAGGGGCAACGCCCCCACGGATAGATTGCTCCCAACAAAAAGCCGGCCACCCCGTTCATCAACCAGGAATTTTGTATCAGGGCGCTTTGACCTTGACGGTAGCAATAGCTTGACCAGGGCTCTGACGATTTTCCTGATTGTGTTACGGGGATTGTAATTAAGGCTTATTCAACAATTGCAGGCTATGGTCATGATGCGGCTCAATTTCAGCGAGTACTGCCATGTCAGCACAATAAGTAAACCAAGACATAACAGAATCAACAAGAACTTCATTTCAGCTCACACAAAGCAACCGCACCGCAAGCAGAACACTACGACACGCCGTCCGCAACATGTTGAAGCCAAAGGAGTCCTTGGTGAGCTCTATGTCGAGAAGGCAGCCTAGGCACATGTTGTCAAGGTCGACTCTTCTGGGGCAAGCAAAGTTTCCCATGCCCCGTGCCTCGTATGTTGTTTAGAGTTCCACCTGATTCTAGGGACCAGCCCTTGTCACACGAGGTTCGGGCAAGGTTCTGCCCAGGTTCTTTTGGGCTTCCCTCAACTCTCTCCACCCCGAAGAAATCAGGTCGGTCATAACCCCAACACGGGTAATTACCTTTCTTTGGGGGGCGTCGTTTTTGGAGGGTACCCCTTCTTTCTGGTTTTAATGAGAAACCAAAAGGCCGCCCACCATCCTTGAGTCCCTGAACAACGACACACCCAGAGGGGGCAACAGAGTCTCCCAGTCCCGAGCCCGGGCCAGGTTTGGGCTTCAGCTTGCATGAGGTGGAGACCTTGTTTGCAGCCGGGGGCCAAAGAAGCGGTGGTCAGAGAGAAGGGCAGGCTATCCGCCGGTAGGATTCTGACTCCTTGACCGTCCATTGAAGTGACATCCTCCCAAGTGGTGGTGAGGGCACCGAACGCAATTGTCCAAACCCATGAAGATGCAACCACTTTCACGGAGACCTAAGGGAAACTATGGAGAGGGACTATCCCTTATTAACCTCTTGATACGGGATCCACGGCTCAAGATCAAGTTGGCGACCTCGAGGAATTCGGGAAAGTTTCGTGTTTCAAATGATGGATCTCTCAAAGTCCCCAACTGTGGTAGGTGTACCCGCTCCTTGGATTCTGTGTGATGGCTAGACTCACTGAGATTTGATGATGACTCACCGCAAGCCAGTCAGTGAGAGGGACATGGCTAGGAGTTTTTCGGCATAAAACACTTGTTGTGCTTTACCTTGGTAGCTGGAATCACTGCGCAAGGTACAAGCCTGGATTTGGGCCCATGGCTGTAAGTTGAGCATCGAAGCGTCGGTGGACCAATTCGATTGTTGGTCCACCGTTGGCCCAATCCCCGTCAATCCCACAGCCCCTGTTTCCCTTTGGCGCAAAAGGCTGTGTGTCAACAGTAGGGCCTCACGAGGGACGCTTCATGGCCTGCAAACATCTGCAAACTGCCTCCAAGGTCTGATAACTTGACGCACGGCGACTTGCTTTGGCTGTTGGGAATCAACACTGAACCTCACATAAGCGTTGCTTGCGTCTGTCCAATGCGCACCCCACGAAACAGGCAGCAATTGCCTTTCAGTTTGCTTCAAAGCCACGCCGAAAGAAAAGTATGAAAGCCCTTGCGACCCTTTCGCTTGGTTTGTGGGATGGCAGGAAGATCAGTGCTCAGTTGCACGCCGCAAGCAGCACAATCTCTTGGTGTCGGCTTGAAGGAAGCGTGTCACCTGTATGTCAGGCGTTTGCTATAGGCGATCTCAGTTGCAATGAGTAAATGTTGATTGCAGCTCGTGAAATGACCACTGCGTGACTCATGGCTTGCCAGCAAGCCGTAGGAAAGCCAACTTTGGGATTTGGGAGGGCTTGTTTGACCCGAAGCAAAAGGCAGCGCTGCAACTTGCGCGTCCCCGCTAGAAGTGCTGAGAGTTCCAGTCACTCATGGGCCGCAGCCATTGAGAGGTGCCGCCTGCACGAGATTTGTGAAAGCTCAAATGGTTTCATGTCGACTCGTGCAGCCGGGCGCAACGAGGTGTTTTTCCAAACGTGAGGAAACCCCATTGAACAAAACAATCACAACGCCCCACTATGAATCAAACCACTGGTTGGTCCAATTACACCCCAGGGATGCAGGAACGACTGAGTTTAGATGGCCATTTAACATCATTTAACACACCACAGACAGTGCCTGGAATAGCACTTTCACATGGTGCCACGGCCCCGAGGAGATGTTTCTCGTTTTATGTTTTGACGGTGCCACCAAGAAAGAACGGCCAATCTCTATCGCCTCAGCGAAGTAATGAGGCTAAATACTTCCACAGCTTATGTTCCCATGATCATGACTGAATTTGGTTTTCAAGTACACCACCCCAGTCTAACTATGGCCCTACGTGCTGCGATTTTGCGGAGAGAGAGAGGTAGCTCCATCTCAGCTTGGGAGATTTGTTCTCGCTCTTGGTCCTCATGGCGCATGACAGGCGCGAGACGGATCTGAATCGGTGTATGTCCTTTGATTGATTCCTTTTGTTGCTGATACCTAATAATACCAATGTCAGTCAGTCAACTCCGTTGTTGCTCTTTAATGTGGCATCTTACCTTGTAAAGTGTGGACACACGGCTGGTTTGCCACTGGGCTTGTCTACATCACGGAATTGGCCATTGCAGGGGCAGGGGCTCATTTGTGGTTGTGCGCTGCGGCGAAAAATAGATCGGGTGGGTGTTTGAGTAAAACTGGTGGTCCGCAATTATTATGTTTATCGTTGTCATTGTCATGATCACTATCATCATTATAATTATTTCCATAATTAATAGTATGTATATACTATTATTATTATTTGTTGCTATTATTATCATTATGAATAGCATTATTATTACGATTGTTATTGTACTTGTTATTACTACTAGTATTGCCGTTATTATTACTATTATTATTTGTTATTTATGATTATTTGTTATTAGAATTATTATTATTGTCATTATTATTATTGTCATTGTTGTTATCATTATCATTATTGGTCATATTGTTATTGTTCCTTTTTCCATTACCACTACTATTCAGATCATTATCTTTTTTTTTCTTCTTCATCTATCGTTATTGTATATTATGCTTTTGATGATGATGATCATTATTATTATTGCTACTATTATTATTATTATGATTATTATTATTATTATCATTATTATGTGTTTTTGGCTTTTTTTCACGGCAGCCACAAGGAGGCCGGGCACACCCCAGTGAGTCACAGATATCCTTTGGCCGCGGTGACCAGGCACACCCGCGAACGTCGCCTAAAGCTACACCTCAGACTCGGCTCTGGACAATTTGAACCCGAAAGTTCATGCTTCAGAATTGAGCCGCGACTTCGAAAATAGAATGGTGGCTGGAGGCTATGAAGCCTCTTCGATTCTTTAAGCTCCTTGACCGGATTGAAACGACGTCCTCCAAGTGGTAAGGGAACCACTGAACGTAATTGTCCAAACCCATGAACATGGGTGAGCTGAGCAATATTCCTGGCCCACAAATGTCCAAGGGTAACTTTTCCCATTCAGTGGGAAGTATCATTTTTTCTTGTGATTTCCCCAATGTTCATCCCACGTAAAGCACCTCTTGATCAGCCTCCACATGACACCACTTGGGACCCGTCTCAAGTCGCCCGGATGGGGTGATTCACGTGGCTGTGGGTCAAAACCAATGGTACCAAGTTGGGGTAGGTGAATTCACCACCCATGTTAGAACTTACTTTGGTGGTTGGATCGGGTCCCGTGCACTGGGGCCACGATTTGGTTTTTGAGCCGTGGCCATGTGGCGGTCTTGGCCCAGGGCAGCAGGATCTGCTGCGGCTGCCGCAGCCGCAGCTGAGGGATGTGCGCCAGGCGGGGCGGCGGATACCCCGAGGCCTCGACGGCCAGTGCAGGTGGTGGCTCCGCCTGGCTTCAGTGGGGGTTGTAGCAAAGCCTGTGGAAAAGCCTAGGTCCCCCAGCTAGGTGCCCTTCGACCATTTCATTTTTGGGGGAGGGCTCCCCTACTAAAATAGACTACAGAAAAAAAGGTACCCTTATTCTAAGCTCTCTACTGGAGGACCTAGAAGCCCTTAGGCATGTAGAACCCGAATGTGGACGATTGGATGCCCTATCCCCACCGAAATTCAAGCACATTTGACACGCTAGTGTTTCAACACCCCAGGTTTGCTTGTGGGTGAAGGGGACCCAGGGCCAGGTTGATTTAAGCCTTCACTGCCCTTGGCCCTTGGTAAGTTTCTGTGGCTTCCTTATTTCGGCTCGTTTTATTTCAGTTCATTTCTAGCAAAGCACAAACTTGTTTGCTAACATGCCACGGGCCAGGGATCAACATGTTTCACACCAGTGTTTCTACCACTAATCTTTCAACATGTCCCCTCCCAGTTTCCAGCTGAAAGAGGAACCAGGGCTTGGTTATCCCAAATACTTTTTCGCCGCCACCCTCTAAGACTAAGAACTCCGGCAAGTTCTGCTGGAAATTGGCGCAACCCCCCCTGGAGCTCGTTTATATCAGCTTGGCGCCAGGGCTAAAAACAACTTCTGGCACAAAGAAAAGGAGGAGCAGCCCTTCAGGCGGGCTGGTTTTCCGGGTGTTTTCAACTCAACTCTGGTGGGTTTCCAGGTTCCGAACCCAGTCGGCTCGGGTGTGTTCAACTCAAAAACTGGGTGGGCCTGGTAAGGTTTCCAGGCAACAAGAAACCAGGAAGGACCTTTTCCTCGCAAAAATGGGTGGACCTGGTTGGGTTTTCAGGTTCTGAAGCCAGTTAAACCCCCCGACCCCCCGCCCCCCGACCACCGGGCGCCGAGTCCCGCCCCTTCGCTGCCACGCGAATCGACTCGACTCGTCGGCGCCTCCGCAGGCCTTGGGCGAGCTGCAGCGCTGGAGGACGCGCCCGGCGCAGGGCACCGCGCTGCTCCGCGAGATCGCGCGGCCGGGCGGAGCGGAGCGGAGCGGAGCGGATTGGGCGGAGGTCGGTTGCGCGAAAGACGGTGATGGCGAATGGGCCGATCTGGCGAATGTCGTGTTTTTTTGTTTTTTTTGATGGAGAAGGTTGGTTTTGTCCTGGAAACTCGACGTTGTTTGCCTGCTCTGTTTGTTTGCTAGCTGGCTCTCGTGCTTGCTTGTTTGTTTGCCGAGTGGAGTTTAGGGATGGGCAAGTGAGAACTGGCCGTTTTGCCACAAAGAGCAAAGGAGCAAATGGGAGGTTCCTGCCACTGGCAAGTTTGGAAAGGCAGGCATTGTTTTCCAGGCGCAGTTTCGGCGCCGGGAATGAATTCCTGGGGTGGCACGAGCTCGGAATAGGAAGGTCGCTCACCCTTGGAGCGTGAAGTCAGGTTTTGGAATTGTTCCTTTTTTTGAAAGCGGATGAACGTGGGGTCAGCGCGTTGTTGTGATCTGACCCGGGGTCGGCTCCTGATATTGAGGCAGCACAGAAGCCAACCATTTGGAGAAGTGTGTGCATGAAAAGCAACCTGCCTGTGCCACATGGGGCCCCAAACATGCTGAGCCAATGCTTTGGATGCAGAGGCATATATTCCTCGTTACACGCAATGGGTCTCTCTCAAGTATCGGTTACAAGGCCTTTCAAGGTTCGAAGAGCCTTTGTTAGGAGCCTTTGGTTTCCTGAGAGATGGTCCCAGTTGTGGCGCGAAGAGAGTTCTCTTTAGTGGTTCATTTGAGGGAGTGGTTGGCAAGAAAAGAGGAGCCCCTGACATGCTTGATTTTCTCTGATTTTTTTCGATTTCAACCAATCAAACCATGGGTTTCCAGATTGGGAAGCTCTCATCATCAACAAAGGGCTGGTATTTCATCAGCCAAGTAGCTGCCCATGATGCCTATGATATGTGTGGAGTCTGGGCATTCTTCCAGCCCGTCTCTGGATTGAAGGGATCCGGGAGGGATGTCTCGCCTGCCAGGTATGGCAGGGCCGAAACTTGGTCGAAATGGACTCAGCGGATTCCGGTGACCTACATCGCGAATATATTGATACGTTGGTTTGTCTAGAAAACCATGTGCAATTCATATGTTTTCTTTTTGAAAGTACCCCCTTGCGTGTGGTTTTAAAGGAAAACCAAAGGGACAACCACTTTTCTTTTATTTTTCTTTTTTTTTTGGGGGGGGAGGGGCGGGGCGCGCGCGGGAGGCGGTCCAGACTTCTTAGGATAGGCAGATGGAAGTACTGGGGCAGATACGGCGATTCTGCCATGAGTTTTTGTTGATCCCTTCCCGTTGAATCTAAATGACTTGTGAAGACGGCATCAAAACGGGAGATGGCCGGACATAAAGTGGTGGGGTGCGCGCGAAGTCTTTTGTTGCCCGGCAAAGTACTAGCATGTGTCCCGAACAAACATATGAAGCGCGGTCAGAATTACGGAAAAGGAAAGTAGTCCACACTTGGACATCCATGTAGCTCAAGGTGCTTGAAACCATGGAAAACGATAGGGGACTCTCAAAAAAACGATACCTTATTTTTGGGAAGAGCATTCTACACCAGAGAGGTTTTTGCAGCCAGGGATTCTTGTTTAACCGATCAACAGTAAATTGCGGGACGAGAATTGTACACAATTTGGCGCGCAAACGCATCGAGGCATGCCATGCTTTTGCATGTGTTTGCTTGGCTGAGTTGGTCAGCATCATTTCACGCGCAAGCGTTTTGAAGTTTATAGGTTTCTGCTTTGAACTTGCATCTTCTTTCCTGCCTTTGAGTGCGAGGTTTTCTCTCTGAACATCTTTGCTCTGAGGCGGGTTTGCATTGCTGAACACCCTTATTCTTTGACGCGCGAGCGTCTTTGCTCGGCTGCTGGAAGTCTGTTTCTCGCACTTGAGGTGTTTCTTTTACCGGGTCTTCGCGCCGCGACACCTCTCCGCCGGCCATTCACGGGAAGAATGGACACACTGGGGATTGAACCCAGGGCATGCGAAGCGAATGTGAGACCACACCATGTGCCCCTGCTGTGAAGGTCCGAAGCATACGCTCAAGCGTTCATGGCAAGAACAGCGCACCGACCAGTTACGGACCCTGTCTGAACATGGGAAGCCCTTTGTTAGATGCTTTTGAAGCAAACCCAAGTAAATGCCTTCGATTTGGAGGGTTCCTAATTGTAAGATGAAGCATTTGGGCAGAGTAAATCGCAACCTCGCGAGGATTGTTTTTATTTGCAGCGTTCCTTTCTTTGCGGTTCTTCAACAAGGTGGTGATTTGTTACAGCAAATATGCGACACCAGCAGCAAACCAACCCGCTTGGGGCCTCGCAACTTGGCTCTCTGAGGACCTGGCAGAGCAAGTGCTCCGCACCATGCAGCTTGCGAGGCGAGCCTAGGGGAGGGCTGCTTTTTATGTTGTGCAGCAAAGAACACTCTGTGTATGCGCATGTGTGGACGGGCGGGTGAGTGGTGGGCGGGCGGGCGGGCGGGCGGGCGGGCGGGCGGTGGGTGGGTGGTGGGCGGGTGGGTGGATGTGTGTGTATGGGTGTGTTTGCGTGTATCTGTGACTCAGCGCCTCCTGAAACGCGGATGTGTTTGTCTGTGTGTGCGTGTGCGTTTGTGTGGTTGGTCTCCTGGTCCGTTTTGAGCCGTTTGGTCATGCCCCGACGGTTGTAAGTGGCCATGTTTGGGGGATGTGATGCGCGTTGCTGAGATGAACCAGGCCGCAGTTGCCGCGCTGGGTTTAGTTTGCCCGTGTGACGTTTACGCCCCCTTTGCGCCAGTTGGCGCTCAGAGTGTTCGACTGTGCTTTCTCTTCTACGCAGTAGCAGCTTGCTTGCTAAAGCTCTTTCAGAACTGACCAAAATCGAAGTCGTCAGCCCAGCGAGTGCGATGGCTTCAAATTCAAACCGACCAATGTCAATCACATGTGGCCAAGAGCTTCCGAGTGCAATCACCTTGTACGGCTTGAGCCAGATCTTCTGCCGAATGGCCTGCTCCACTGGTGAGTTGCTCTGGTTTCAGACACGCGTATGTTCTTTGTGTCAAAAGCCAGACACCCTGTGTAGCACACGGCAAGGGACTCACATGTTTTACGGTTGATGATGCTAACCCATTTAGGAGAATTCTCCACTTGGGAAGCCCCCACCCCCTATCAATCCGTGAGGCTAATTAATCCGGCGTCAACATAAGCGGAAGGTACGTAGACTGTAGGCTTCTGGGGGGGCTATACCCTTCCAGCCAAAAAGCATATGGAAGGCGCGCGAACCCTTTCTAGAAGGAAGCTTTGGTTTTCTGTTTTTTTTTCCTTTTTTTTTCTCTGTTTTTTTTTGTTTTCCTTTTTTTTTTTGTTTTTTTTTTTCACTGGGCGAGGTCCCACGCGTTGTTTCATGAGGTTCGGTCAACATTTCCAGTGATCCATTTGGTCCGGGGGGGGGGGACTGTGCGGTACTCACTCAAGTACTCAAAAAAACCATGTTGCTAACCTCACGGGTTGAAACCCTGCTCCAAAGTGATGCAGGGGACTCACCAGTTTTCCCAAGGTTGGGCACTTTTTTGACCTTGAGTCTTCCTTGGGTTAGCAAGCTTAGTCGAGGGGGTCCGTTGCAATGTGTAGGTAATCAGCCGCACCACTCGTTTGAGGAATCCAGAGCCATGAGCTGTTTTGACACATCATCATTTGACTCAGTATCTGGGTCCAAACTTGTTTTAGGAGACACATACTTACGAACGTTGCTCCCCGATGATCATGAGCTAATCTGGTGTAATAGTACCCCCAACCCTATGGTTGGGCCATTTTGGGCCCAGGTGGGGAGCTCTCAAACAGGTGGCTGCTGTTGGATGGTATCTGAAGGGAAACCAAGAGGACACCAAAAACATAAGCGGCCCTCATGTCGGGAAGCATCCTTGGGGTTGCAACAAACCCCCGGCTCGGACAGGCTCCAGGCGAACTTGTTCCACTTCAACGCGGCACTCAATGCGTTTGGGCGGAGAAGATGGGTTGGACCGGGCTCCAAATTGGGTTCTTTTGAAGACCGGGCTCCAAACAAAAGGATTTTCGTTGGTGTTCACACATCCCACATGTTTCACGGATTCGGAAAGAATCAATTGACATGTTCCTTTCAAACCAGATGCCATAAGCGAGGGGACGATGGCGAGAAAGGCAATGGAGATTCCCTCCTTATGTAAGCTAGCCTACCTCCTTTGGTACCTGATGTATTTGTGTTGGTCAGTTTGAACAGACAGAAAGAGCCGCTCGGCACGAGGTTTTTTCTCGAGGCCACAGCAAGCCGACCTCAACAAATATTTATTTTTCGGGCAAGCTTGAGCTGAGGTCCGATTTAGATTCACCCGCAAAAGTGAAAGCATTCTACACACTTCCGAAGTGTTTTGATATTGCTTTTCGGGAAGACCAGTTTAACTAGTGGAGACAGATTGAATTTCGACCCAATTCACTCAGGACAGGTAAGAAGACGAGGCTCCCCTTTCGTTGAGTTTATTCATTCTGGGGGCAGCCCGTCAATACTGCGATCCGGATTCCAAAGCTCGTAGCCAGGGATTCTGGCACCAGTGAGTTGACTCCAAATGGCAAAGCCTCAAATGGTTCAGCTTTGCAGGCATTCCTGTAGCACTCTGAAGGAGTACCTTCAAACTAAAGCAGGTCATTCGGCAAAGGGAGTCCAAACAATCTGCAACAGGTGGGCGGTCAAGGGGTTGCTATGAGCATCAAGAAGCAAGGCAGATTTCTGCAAGGCAGATTTCTGCAAGGCAGTCTAGAACTGTGGCGGATCTGTGATCTCAGGAGACCCCGCCAGAAGTGAATTTCCAGGTTGAGCGTGTTCTGAATTCGTTCGGACTTGGTACCTGCCAAATCCAGCCCGCCCAAGCGGACGCTCAGTTCCTTGGCCTGGAGGAACTGAAAGGTGCGAAATTTTGGAGTCCCACAAAGGGCCAGTTTGATTCTGTGCAGGGGGGAAAGGGTTTTTTTTGCAACAGCCAAAATAAAGACACATAAAGGACGCTCAAACGCCAACACACCGCAAAACCCGGTTTAGACGGCCAGAACGCGTGGTTTGCGTTCTTCAACGGCCAAAGACCTCGCTGAGGCATACAGAGACTGGGAAGAGGCTTTGGCCATGTGCAGCTGCCCGGCCGGAATTGGTGGTGGTGTTCCGTTCGCCGCGTTTGACGTGTGAGATGGTCCAAATCGAAGCCAAACCCGCCTAGCGCATTGCTTTTGGTGGGATGACACTGTATGTTGCGACTGCCTTATTGCTTTCCGAATTGGCACAGGTTGCACACCCGTCGGTGAATTCGCCTTCATAAGTTACATGGCGGCGATCTAGCCTCGATGGCCGATGTCACTTTCGCCTTTGGCTGTTTTAACAGGGAGCCAACAAAGCGACCCACAGGGGCTCCAAGCCATCTCGAGAACCTACGTGCCTGGTCCTTGACCCTTGGAACCAGCCGCCGAAGGGAAGAATGGGGGCGGGGCGCCACCGCGCAGGAGTCGCTTTGCGACCAATTGCACTGGGATTGCTTGTTTCGGGGGTGTGAACTCATTGTTTTTCGCGCAGATCACGAGCAGACTCTGCGGGATCTCTTTCAAAAATCATTTCTTGATGTAAGGCCAGACTCACGCAAATTTGTTTTTTGGATACAGGCTGTATAGGCGTCCTAGCTCGTAGGAAAATGGGCGAAGCACTTCCCCCTACTGAAAACAACACAAAGACCCAACCGTTTTCCCTCCCACCAGCCAACACGGAAGTGCACAGACGCCTGTAGAAAGACTACTTTCCTCTTTTTGGACAGGGCCGTTTTGCACTTCCATCTTAGTTGCTGGGTAAGGGAATATCTCCTTCTGTTTGGAGCCCGGTCTTCAAAAGAAACTCATTTGGGTATGGTTCAAAATTAAACCACCAGGGCCCGCGGGTTTGAGTCCTTGGTTCCATTTGCCAAAATTCCATGCAGGGCACCATTTTTTGACCCACGCCCATTTGGAGCCCCGGTACCCAAACGGTTTTGGGGCGCGGACCCGTTAGGTCGGATGCTGGTGCTGGGCCTCGCGCTGGACGAGTTTAGCCTCTCGGAGTCGATCTGCTCGGATTCGGAGGCGTTCCCAAAATCAGTCGACTGGAAATCAACGGGGGATGCCTTAAAGGGGGGCCCTGTTTCCCCAAAGGATTCCCCAAATCAAAGATTCTTGGGGTTTCATCTGCATTTGAGCAGAGATTTTGCACACCCTTCAGAAGGTGCCCCAATTCAACTCCATTTATGTGGAACTCCCGAACGGATTTCTGGATCGGGCGCGGGCAGGTTGAGAAACACTCCACGTGTCAAAAACCAGGGACCCTGTCAAACGGTTGGAAGCCAAGTCCACAAACAAGTGCTAGGAACCTCCAAAGGTTATAAGGACCCAGGCAGTAGTCCGACTGGTCTGATAGCAGAAGGTTGAAACACACCACTTAAGCATGCGTGTATACATGGTTACATTCGCGCAACTGAGGAATCTACATTTGCATTTCCACGGCTCATCTTCACATTTGCGAGTTTTAGATTCATAGACATAGGTGTCCTTCTTAGGTAAGTAGGTTGGAAATAGATGGGTTCCACTGGTTTAGATTGCCTTTCTGCCCTACAGGGAACCCAATCGATTTGCCCAAAAGGTCATGGCTGTAAGGGGATCGTTTTGGTCCCATGCTTCTTCCCCCCTCCAACTGGGGTCGTACTCTTGACGATTTCTGGAGGTTATCAAAGTCAGATGGGGTTGTTTCCCTTGAACCCACCACTTTGGGGGTGACTTGGATCATGGTAAAATAAAAAGACGCCCGTCCAAGTCACCCCAAAAGGGACCCCGCCCCCCCACGCTTCGGCTTGCCATTTCGGCCATCGCTGAGGCCTCAGCAGCGTGACCGGCCCCTGGCCGCGGGCGTTGCAGCTCCTCGGCCCCGCGCTAAGCTTTCGGCCAGCGGGCAAAATCGGAAGCGAGTCGAAGCGTTCGGTGCTGGGTCCAAGTTTGCCTTACCTCTTAAAATCACAACTTTTCAACTTTTTGGGTAACATGGGCTATATGTCTGTAAAAGATTAACTTCCCCAGGGCTTGGAGGTTTTAAGGGGTAAGTAGCCAGGGGCTTGGTGCAGTGACTCGTAGGCACTCGGAGAGGTGAAGTCATGACCGGGGTCAGGGGCGCGCCATTTGAGCCAGCTCAGAGTTTTTGGGAACGCCCCCCCCCCAAAAGGTCGCAGGTTCGATGGACGCCGCCGGTCAATCGCAACTTTTGGCTAGGGGAAATCCAGGGACGCCAGATCAGGATGACCCCTTCGCCTGGAATTCGTTCCCAAAGCTGTGACTTTGAATGGCCCAAATGGCTATGTGGCACTGGTTGCAACTGAGGCTACAAGCAGTTGCAGCCCAATATCGTCCGCTGCTTGGACGGTCTTAGTGCCTGGCTCATTTCAAGTCGGCGCTGACCGACTAAGCCATCCAGTTGGAAGAACATGCAGGACTCACCCAGTTTTCGTTGGAATTAATTCGATGAGTTGGGTATGTTGTATAGTGGGAGGACTAAAGCCAAGCTGCGGAACTGTTACAAGGCCATTTGCTTTTGCACTTGGGATTCCTGACTTTGACTGCTTTGATCATTGCCCGTTTCTGGTTAGGCTGGTTGAACACAGACGGATTCCACAGGTTTCAGTTTGGTTCTAGCCATTTTCCTAGTGGAACCCAGCTAAGTTTTTAACGGACCACCCAAGGCTTTGATGTTCCGCTTGATATTGATCGAGCTTTCGGTACACCGGGATGGAGTGGTTTTGTCCCTTTTTCGTTTGGGAACCTTGTCCATGGCTAGTTCGATTGGTTCATTGTTCAAACACCATAGGCAGATATCCAACTCTGTCTCGTCCTCTCGAAGCTCATAGACTCCAGTGTGCCAACTGCAACGACGCCTTCAGCACCCAAGGATTTGCTCCGTGTGACTAGAGACCGCTGGACACCAGCAGGCGAAATATTGGGTCTCCTCCAACACTATTTCATATGGTAGGGTAGAGTAATTATGTGTGTGTGTGTGTTCTGTTTGATGGTACCCTCTTTTTTGGTTGGTTTTAAAGGGAACCCAAAGGAACGTCATCATTTCGGGGGGTCCCCTAAAAACGTGTGAACCAGAGTCAGAAAATAGTGGTGTTGGAGTTTCCCAGATGTGGGCCAAGTATTTGTCAGGAACATTACTCAGCATGCCAAGGCTACAACGCAGCCATCAGCCGCTCGGATGAACCGATTCATCGGATAGGAGGCTTTGCCATTTTGATGGAGTCTCGTTGGACACGGCTTCGCTGCTTCCATCCCCTTTTGCTGCCACTTGGAGGTATCCTTTTTAGGGGACCCCCCAAAATGGTTTCGGTTTACTTTTTGGTTTCCCTTTGCAACCAGCCAAAGCAGGGGTACCAACTCCAAAAAAAGACGAGCACTTATTTTGGATTTCTTGCCGCAAAGCCGACGCATTTGCCGTGCTTTTCCGGAGCCCTCTTGTTTGGACTGGGAGTTCAATCACGGCAGTCCTGGAAAACAGGAAAAGCACAGAGCGGCATCCGAATTGATCAAATTATGTTCAGATGAAAACATGATACACATGTACATACTTTAGTCAGGCCGAAGTTTATGCTTCTTACCTGCTTTCATGAGGCGCTATCGGGTCAACCGCGGATCGAATTAAGCGCGTTTTGTGTGGCAGGCGTGGGACAGCTTCCCAGGCTGCCCAGGCTTCCCAGGCTTCCCAGGCTTCCTAGGCTTCCCGGGCCCCAAATTGACCGCACACTTGCAGAGGTTCGTGTGGGATTGTAGGGGGAAAGGGCTGTGATTGTTCTGACCTGAAAGCAGCGCAACTTTTGCCGGGTATATTTAGAAGGTGCCAACATGTCTAATGACTTTGATGACCAGGCGACTGCCGACTTGTCTTGTGTATTTTTGGGGAATCAAGTAATTTTGACCATGCCTCGATGCTTTGATTCTTCATACTGGCAATCCACAATATCTCAGTTGAGTGTCACAGTGTGTTTGCGTCACAAGTTCGGCATGAGGGACGGGCGAAATGTGGGCTCGATAATCAGTTTGTTTTTGGAAGCATATGAGTCCTCTTTTGGGTTAGTCTGGTGTGAACTAGATTGGCACTGGCTTTGATTGGGGTATTCCATTTATCAGGGCCATCTATTTTTGCAAAGGGCACCTATGGGAAGTGTTCTTTCCAGCAGCCGCAAGGATGACAAACCGTCCTCGGGGTTTAGGATGAACGGCCGCAACATTTTCGGCTTATAGCTTGTGCTGTTTGGATGGCAGGGCCGCTCTGCCTGCGCTGTGGCCGTTGGAGTCCGGAGTCTCCTGCGTCGGGAGGCGGGCTCTGCGGCCTGTGCAGAGCGCCCTTTTTGTGGGCGGGGTCGCCACTGATCCCCGTCTCACTCCGGCGCTCCACTTCCACGTGGAGTACGCCTTGAAGCGGGTGGTCGGTGAGGTCGCCCTGCTTCTTGGCCCCCTCCAGGCCGGAGGGAAGGGTCCGAAGCCAGCTCCTGAGTCGGGAGCTGAGGACCGTAAGAGGTCAAGAGAGGCGAGCAGTGAGGAGCCTCTCAGACACAAGAAGGACAAGAAGGACAAGTCCAAGAAGGAGAAGAAGGAGGCTAAGGCTGTCAAGAGTGGCAAGGAGCTCAAGCAGCGCCCTCGGTCAAGAGGGTGGTCCCCTAGGTCTTCGGCCAAGGAGCGGGGAGTCTCGGAGAAGAGGCTGGCAGTAAAGGAGGAGTCCTACGAGTACACCAGCGTCTCCCCCGACCCGGAGGCGGTTTCTTCTTCCTGGCGGCCTAGCCTCTCCAGAGGGGAGAGGACTGCAGAGCGGGTGGGATCCCGCCTGGCCCCACGCTTTCCGGATTTTCCTGCGGGGGCGCATCCCAAGGCCTCGCCAGTTGAGGCTCCTGCTCCGGTGAGACCTCAGGGGGAAACCCCTCGGACTCACTGGTCCTGGAAAGAGATCAGCGAGTGGGAAAAGGCTCGAGGCATTTGGAGAAAGAAGGCCAACAAGGGCCGAAAGCACCGAGAAAGGCAGGAAGAAAGAAAGCTGAGGCCTCGGCGTGACTCCTCGGAGGATCCCGGAGACCTTCCAGAAGAAAGACCTGAGCTACATGCCCCCAAGGATCCGGAAGAGGCCGGCAGCGAGGGAAGAGAGTAGGCCCCGGAGCCTACTCCTACTCTGGCGGCCATCTGGGCTGGTACAGCATCCTGGTTTTGGGAGGGAAGTTTTGGGCCCAGGGGTATTACCTGGGCAGAGATGTGGAGATCGTCTTGAAGGCCGAGGCAAAGATAGAGGACGAGCTGGGCCGGTGGTTGAAGGTGCAGCTGTGTGGCACTCCCGACGCAGGCCTCAGGGAGTGGGGTCTCAAGAGCCGGAGCTTATTTATATCTCTGAAAATGATACCGCGAGACCAACACCTGCGGGACGAAGAGCTCTTTTACACGACCCAGGTGAAGGAGGTGGACCCGGAGTTGGAATGGAAGAGCAATTGCCTCCCCGAGCCGAGTGGCCCCCATCAGAGTTTGGGGGAACTGGGAGGCGTGGCGGAATTGGCAGAGGAGATGGGTTTTGGCTCTCCAGTACGAGGGCGCCGAGCGGGACGTGCCCAGAAAAACGGAGGGCACAGCTTTGCCTCCCGCTGCTCCCAGGAATTTCCCCGTGGACGGGAGAGAGTTGTCTTACTCTCCGCAGAGAGCAGACGAAGGCGAGAAAGAAAAAGGCAGAGAAGCCAAGAAGAAGAAGAAGGCCAAGGACAAGGTACGCGTGCTGGAGATGCTGAAGCAAAGCAGGTGGTCGTGGCGAGGATCGAGCCTCGATCCGGAGTTCAAGAGGCCGAAGATAAAGCTGAGGAGAGGAAAAGGAGACAGCGACTCCAGCAGCAGCAGCAGTCATTCGGGCGGTCCCGAATCCAAGGTGCTGGATTCGGACGAGGAGCTCCTCTTCACAGAGGAGAGCCAGGCCAAATATGTGGCCAGGCGATGTCCCGGGCTGCTAGCCAAGATGGGGCTCCAGCGGTGCAGGAAGACCCTGTGCGATGGGATGGGTCTTTCGCTTGCCAGCAGGGAGCCGGGGTCCGCCATGGTTCAGTACTTCCGCCAGACTCTCTCGCGTCTGAACCCGTCGCGCCCATTGGCGAGAGAGGCTTTGTCGCTCTGTGCGGTCATGGACCAGCTCTTCGAGGGGGAGGTCGTCCGAGCGCTGGATGTCAGCATGCAACGCCTGAAATACCTCGAAGCCATCATGCGAGGGAGAGGTGGCATCAAGGATGGAGTTGATCCCACAGCGTCGCCACAGACGAGGAGCTCCGGACGGCTGCAAAGGAGCAGAAGCAGGACGAGCGTTTGCAGGCCTCCGCGGGGAGGCGCCCCTGGACAGGGGGCAGCGGGTCAGCAAGCGGAGTTCATCAAGACCAAGGAGATCAAGCCGCCCCCTGGCAAGGAAAAGGGGGCGATCACGCCAACAGGAGTTACCCTCCCAAAGGGAGGGGCTGGTGGAGCAAAGGCGGGAAGCCGAAGGGCAAGGAGAAGGGCTCCAAGGAAGCCCCACAGTCGGAGGTGGTGAAGCCCAAGCCCGCGGACGCCTGAGCGGTTTTGCAGGAGTGATCTCCTCTTCGCCTGAGAGGAGAGATGAGCCGGATCCAGACTTGGTAGCTAAGCCCCACGTGCCTGATCTTGCGCCCCCGTCGCATTTTTCCGCGTCCGATTGTTCCCTAGAACTGTCACTCGCTGCAGCTGGACGCTGCTTACAAGAGTGGTGGTTTGAAAGTAGGGCCGAAGTTGTTGCCTTCACCGCGAGCAAGGCGGCCTGGGAAGGGGAACGAAGCCTGCCGTCAGACTTGTTTCCCCTGCCCGCGCGGGGTGGTTTGGGCACGGAATATGGGGATTTCTCCTTTGATGCTTGGTTTCAAGGGGTGGTCACGGGCCTCAACTGGATGGCTGGTTACCCCCCCTGTCTCTTCGGTTTCGATGCCTGGACATGAGGGCACTGCGCTGCAGCAAAAAGTACTGCGGCATCTTTGGGAGTCCATTTCCTGTGTTGGTAGGTGGAGTAAGGTTCCACTACCTAACCCCGAAGGGGAGGAGGATTTTTGGAATGCTAAGGTGGTTAATCGAAGTACACGTCCCGCAGAATTTGGGGTGGGCCAACCTAGCACATTCCCTGCCCGCCAAAGGCAGTGCAGGAGTCGTAGACGCACTTGAAGTGTTTTCAGGGGGAGTTAAAGACTTCCTCGAATCCCCCCACAAGTACTTGAAGCCACAAGGTTCCCGGAAGTGGCTGAAACCTCCCAAGGTCAGGGTTGGGGAGGAAGATTGGGGGCAGGTTGCCCAACGTTTGATTGAAAGGGGCGAAGGGGAACCCCTTCTTGGTGGGCTTTTTGGGGTGCCGAAGAGGTTGTCGGGGGCGTGGAAGTCCTGAGGCTAATTATGGACCTCCGCCCGGCAAATCTTCTTTTTGAGCCGTTGCAAGGTGACTTAGCAACGTTGCCCCTCTTATCGCAGATGGCGCCTTTGGAGGTTAGAGAGGGTGAACATGTCCTCATCTCGAGTGAGGATATCAAGGCGATGTTCTATGTGGTAGGCCTTCCTGAGGTTCGGAGGCCGTTTCTTTGTTTCAATAAGGTTATACCGGCCTCCCTTAATCCGGGTGGGGATAGGAGGCCACATGTGCTGTCTGCTACAGTGCTCTCAATGGGCTTCATCAACAGTGTGAGTATTGCTCAGCACCTGCATCGAGGACTGGTCACGAGGGCGATGGAGCTGGCAGGTGTGGGTCGAGAGACGGAGCTCAGACGTGACAAGGCGGTTCCTCGCTCCCCTTTGTTTTACAGGGTCTACTTGGACAACTTCGATACTTTGCAAAAGGTGAACCCTTCCGCTGCGGCACTTTTGGAGGGGCGGCCAAATGGGGCGAGCCTGGCACTGCGTTCAGTTTATGAGGAGTTCAATGTTCCCCGGAATGTGAAGAAGACTGTTGAACAACAGCTGGTCGCTGAGATGCAGGGTGCATTGTTTGATGGGGTTGAAGGGTCTATCCGGGCAAAGGACGAGAAAACCGCTCGATATGTTCAGGGAGGACTCTTCCTCCTAAGGTCCAAGAGGACCTCTCTCAAGAGGTTGCAAATTGTCGCCGGGGGGTTGGTTTACCTTTTTAGTTACAGGCGACCCCTGATGTCGTGCCTCAACCAGATCTGGGTTTTCATCTCTTCTTTCGAAGGGAAAACAGGGCTGTGGAAACCTATCCCCTTGGAAGTCAAGATTGAGCTGTGGCTTGGGATGAATCTACTTCCGCTAGCAGTGACCAATTTCCGTCTTCCTTTTGACTCTGTGGTGACGGCCTCGGACGCCTAGACGGGTGGTGGTTTGGTGATGTCTACGGGGCTCAAGCCTATGGGGGCTGCAGTGAGAGGTGAGACCTCTGAGCTCCCTGATGACTCTCAGGTTTTGGGGATTGGTCTTTTTGATGGCATAGGTGCCTTGAGGGTGGCGCTGGATGTCTTGCAGGCCCCAGTTGGGGGCTACATCGCTGTAGAATCGGATGCCGGCGCCCGTAGAGTGGTGGAAGCGAACTTTGCTGATGTCCTGCAGCTCTCCTCTGTTGAGGAGGTGACGGAGGAGGAGGTCAGGCAGTGGGCCCTCCGTTTCTCCCGCGTTCACTTGGTCATTCTAGGAGGGGGACCCCCTTGCCAGGGTGTGTCCGGCTTGAATTTTGGGCGCAAAGGAGCCGTGGAGGGTCCGAGGTCCTCTTTGCATTCTCACGTCAAGCGTATCATTGACCTGGTGAGGAGTGTCTTCAGTTGGGCCAAGGTGTTCTTCTTGATGGAAAGTGTGTTCTCAATGAGCTGGGAGGATCGAGCAGTTTACTCTACTTCCATCGAGGTTCTTCCGTATTTGGTCGATGCCAAGCACTGCTCACTCGCGAGGTGGCCTCGGTTGTGGTGGTTCAATTGGGCCATCCGAAGTGAAGACGGCGTGCGCATCACGCTCCCGGGGCCTCCTGACTGCCATGAGTATGGGGAGGTCCGTTTTGAGGTCAGTGTTGAAGCCTCGCGCTATCTTGAGCCTGGATGGGCTTTGGCGGGCCCGCCAGATCGCAAGTTGAACACGTTTACAACGTCCCAGCCAAGTGCCAAACCTAGGTGGAGGCCGGCGGGGATTGATTCTTGCACCCCGCAGGAGTTGGAGCTTTGGGCGGCGGACAACCATCGTTTCCCGCCGTATCAATACAAACGTGAGAATGGGGTGCACCATCTGAAAAAAGGCTGGCGCCTCCCTTCAGTGGAGGAGCGAGAGGTGATTTTAGGTTTTCCTTTGGAGTACACCTCTCTGTGCATGGCGAAGCATGAGAGGAAGGCAAAGAGAGGAGACTGGGAGAACAAGCGCCTTACAATGTTGGGAAACACATGGTCGGTGCCTGTGGTGGCATTGCTTTTGAAGAGCTTGTTGGAAGATCAGGGGTTTATCCCCCACGTCTCCCTTCGGGAGGTGGTGGAGAGATGTCAGCCAGGAAGGGGTGCGCTTCTCCAAAGCCAACTTTGGAGACGCGCTTGGACACAGCGTTCAAGTGTGGTCTCGGACGCGGAGCGTGAGGGGTTGCTGGTGCAGAAATTGGCAACGCTGGTGTCAGCACGCGGAACCGACGTCTTGCTGACCGCCCCCACCATGTGTGTTCCAAAGTTTCAACGCCTTAGGTCTTCAGTCCCCGCTGGGTTGTGGGGATGGAAAACTGTCTGTGGTTTGCGGTGGAGGAGGACTCCTGGGCGGCCCGAGCACATCAACAAGCTTGAGCTACGGGCCCTTTTCACGGCTTTGAAGTGGCGAATCCAGAAGCAGCAGAGGCTGGGCCACCGGTTCCTTCACCTGACGGACTCAATGGTCTCCTTGTTAGTCACCAATAAGGGGAGGTCTTCTTCAAGAAAGCTTCGGTTGGTCCTGCAACGCATGTGTGCCTATTTGTTAGCGTCCGGAAATGTTTGCTTGCTCGGCTACGTCAACACAGACCAATCAGGGAGGTTATTTCTCCCTCTTTTTCTTGCCAGGGCCAAGCCTGGAATGGCTACGAGTGTTTCCTGGCATGGGGTTTTTTGTACCAACTACTTGCTTGCGGTGAAAATTGAAGGCCGTGCATCCTTGACAAACCGTCCTCGGGGTTTAGGATGAACGGCCGCAACATTTTCGGCTTATAGCTCGTGCTGTTTGGCCCACCCACCCTCACCTGTCTGCGGAAGGGACCATGGTTGACCCCCTTTGGGGGGCTGTGGTGTTTGTTTTGGTGTTGGTGTGGTTGCTTCTTGTTTTCTTTTCTGTTTCCTTGATGGAATCATGGATCCCGGATCGCGATCAGGGAGGTTATTTCTCCCTCTTTTTCTTGCCAGGGCCAAGCCTGGAATGGCTACGAGTGTTTCCTGGCATGGGGTTTTTTGTACCAACTACTTGCTTGCGGTGAAAATTGAAGGCCGTGCATCCTTATCTTTTGATTCCACTGTTTAGCCTGTGCAGTCGTCCACCCACCGTCGATCTGCGTTGGGACCTTGGTGCAGGCCCTACAATAAACGGATGGTCTCCTTGGGGTATCCCTTGAACACGGATGGTCTCCTTCTTGGGGTATTCCTTGCACACGGATGGTCGCCTTTTTGGGTTTTCGTTTGGTAGCCTACGGCTCCCCAGGTGCTCTCCGCAGCCTTTGGGTGGCGGCGGCCGAGCTTTTGACGTGTCTCCAGAGGCGCGTGGGACAGGTTGGGACAGGGTGCACCAAGGACTAGAGCCTGCGGATGGTTGGTTGGTGGGATGTTGGTGGGTTCCTGGTTGCTTGCTTGCTTGCTTTCTTGCTTGCCTGCTTGCCTGGTTGGTTGGTTTGTTGGTGGGTGGGTCGTTTTTTGTTTTCGTGCCCCCCCCCCCCCAACCAGAAAGAATGGTGGTTTTTCTCTTCGCTTCTCCAGGGGTGCCAACTCCAAGAACATGACACCCCCATGCCCCGTGTGACCACTTGGACCGTTATTTCGCTGCTGGGCTTCGAGAACTTGTGGATGTTCATCTGCTTCCTTTCTGGCTGCTGCCTAACCTACTCCCCGGAACACGTGGGGGGGGGGGCTCGCTGGCGGGATTGGCATGTGTGTAAGCAATATGTAGCTTGCTTCCCTGAAATTCCTTTGTATTCTGCTGGAGATGACGGTCATGAGCATGGAATGATATAGTCATGTTATGTCATGTTCGTTCTCTCTGGTTGCTTCACGTTCATTAGTTCGTTCCATTCCATTTCGTTCCATTCCGTTCCATTCCATTCCATTCCATTCCATTCCATTCCATTCCATTCCGTTGAGCTTCCCATCCGCCCTCACCCCCCCCCCCCCTGTGGTGTGGAGTTTCTCATTCCAGGACAGGGCTCCTTAAAAAATACATTTTGCCCCATGGCTATTTCCACCAAATTTGAACACAGCGGGTTTGTTGGATCGATGCCCTTTAGCAGGGCTCCTTAAAATACATATTTTGCCCATTTGAAACATGTTGCTTTTTCAACACCAAAATAAAGGGAACCCACCATTTACAAGGCAATGTTCAGGTGTATAAGGTAAGGATCCCTGCAGGAGTGCCCAGAGGGACGACTTCAGCGTCAGCGCTTTGGTCGCCTCCTATGGTGAGGCCGCGAAAGCCGAAAGCGCCAGCGGATCCTGCGGTGCCAGACGGGGTCAACGTGTATCAGCAATTTGGTTGTGCTGTTTTTGGGAGCTTTCCTTTTGGTTTCCCTTTTTGAAACAGCAAAACCAGGGTACCCTCAGCAAAAGACATCCCCCATTTAGGATGACAGCTGGTGATCAATATTTTAAGTTGTGTTGTATTTTTTAAAACTAAACCTCCTGATTGTATCATTCAATTGCCAGGCTTACGATCGAATGTTGACCAAGTGATGCTCTCCGGAAAGCTGGTTGATTGTTGGTTGATCCCAACATGCTGTAACCGTCTACTTTTTGGGGAAATGACAGATTCCCCACCAGCAACAAGTTAAACTAGACAAACAACACGAGCACACTTGAGTGACAACTCATCGGGCTGTGATTTGTGCCCAAAACCGACATCCTCCGAAAGGTTCCTTTCACGTTTGTGCCTTTAGGGTTGGCAAATGGATTTCTCATTCAGCCCGGTTGGTACTGTACCCTCCAACTGGACGCCTGAAACTTGCTCATGAGTCCCTTGGCGCCATGTTGAAGCAGGTGACGTTTTTCGAGGCAACAGCCATGTGCAACGTGCGCATCTCGCTGCACCTCAGGGCGGCCAGTGGCAGCGCGGCCAGCTTCTGCTTGGCGGAGGAGGCTGGGCTTTTTTTGACCTCCGCAAGGATTTTGGCTTTTTGGCGATCCGAAAGACCGTGCGTGCTCCTCTCTCAGGGAAATCCCTTCGACTCGGGTTGGAGATTCACAGGCCAAGTTCTAAATAAGACTCTGCAAGGATCTGACCAGTGTCACTCGCATTCTTAGGCAGCTATTTCTTTTTCCAAGCTGGTAACAGGGACACGTGGAGCCAGTCAAGGTGTGAAATCATTAGCAGGTTCTCACATGAGCAATTATTTTTGCGCCTGTCAGGTTTTTGTATCGCCCGCAGCCCCTTAAGGGGGAAATCGCAGTCAAATGAAGACACTGTTGTTGGGCAACGGGCCCATTTGCCCAAATAAGAACCGCGACATCTGCCGTCAAGGGTCTGGCAAGTGCTTGAGATCCCCCTTAGAATTGGCACTCCCCCCCACCCCCCCCACCCCCGACCCCATGTTGCGCGAAATCCCTGCTCCAGCTGCCCTTAAAAGCGATCAACTCCCCAAAGCCCGTAGAAACTGGTCAAATCCCCTTCTAGAAGCCAATGGAAGCCGGCCAACTTCCCATCTAGCTCCGGTCAAATCTCGCTGGAAACCGGTCAACTTCCTCCCCTCCACCACTCTGGTCAAGTCCCCGTAGAAACTGGCCAAATTCCCGTTATTCGTTTCTAGAAACCTGTCAAATCCCTTCTGAAAACAGGTCCAACTCCCATCAAATCCCCCTAGAAACCGTCAAAATCCTAAAAAAGCCGTCCAATACCCTAGAAGCTTGGACCTGCGCTTGGCCCACCATTCTGTAGGAATCGTGCGGACATGCGCCCACCCGCTAGATTGGAAACCAGCTCACGCATTTCGGCGCCGACTCACTCACTTTAATAACATCACTTCAAGGCAAACTGAAGCACAGTATATACCTTAAAGCCAGCCAAAAGCGGACTGGCCGAGGCGGGCAATGCGAAGCGTTTGCAATTATACATATGTATATATATATATATATAACATTATATATATTTATATATGGTTAATAATAAATATATGTACATATATATATATATACACATACATGTGATGATAACTTGCTAGCCGAAGTAAGAGATCGGTAAGAAAGGAATCTTGATCATGTGTGAGAGAGCAACACTCCCCTCTGTGAGGTCGCCGTATGGGCTGCTTTTCAAGTGACGAGCCTGAATCGCCAGGCCCACCTTTCCGGGGGCAATGATGCCACCCGTGATTCAGGCCCAATCATCGGTGGCATCATCGCGCTCGAAAAGGTGGGCCTGGCGACGATTTTTGCGGGTGCTTTTCATGTAAGAATGGTCCAAGGTAAAAAGCGGCACGTGCTTGCGCGCGGTGATGTTCGTCTTGAAAAAGTCATGCGCAGTCTGACCAGAGACGAGTGATCCCAATGCCAACGATCCAACCTAAGCTTCTAGCTTAAGCCCTATTTGCTTTATGACGGTTGGGCCTAGTGGCTAAAACGGAAAATGACCTGGGGGCCGAGGCGAATATTAATATATACATATGTATAATATTATATATGCATATGTATATCCAACGGATGACATGTATATCGTGATTGTTTTGTACAAGTGATCACCGCAGGCAGTTGGTAGCAGGAAGAAACTCTGTCGCAGACAGCCTCGAACTGTGTAATCGTTCTTTCCTTTGCACAATGCTGCCGTGCCAGGACCCTTTATTTGTCCTGCTTTTTGGAAGTGTTCTCGAAGGTGTGGTAGTTTTTGTACCATCGTGACACAGTTGCGCACCCTCTCTGCATTGGCACACAGTCTGTACACTCCCCCATCCCCCCTCCGCCGCAAAAGAATTACTACCCGCCCCCCCACCCCTTCCCCAAGAGAAAAAAAAGGGCGGGGGAGGGGCGGGGGGGGGGATATGGAACCTGCACGGTACCGCGGCGTGCAGCCCAGGTGTGCCTTACAATGCAGCGATCTCCGCCTGCGACCTCGTGCCTTTGGCGCCCTCACTTTAGTTTTGAATTTTAGAGGGATGCCTCCGTAAGTAACACGTTGGGGAAAGACCTGTTTACCCTACCTTTGTGTTGGCAGCTTCAATGGATGAGTTGTAAGATCTGCTTGCCCCTACAATTGGTTTCCTGTTGCGCACGTGTGTTCCTTTTAGCCGCATCTGAGAGAACATTCCGCGTGCATTCTCAAGGGAAGGAATTTGTGTTTCTGTCAACTGCATGTGAGGGAGCCGCCCATTGGCATGAAATTGCGGCCACAGGTGAGGGAAAAAGCCAGGGCTTTTTGAAGATCTCACACTGGCTGAAAGCAGCCTCTCACAGCGGCTTCCCAAGTTCAGGACACAGCCGCTCCGATGGAGATGTCAAATGTGAGGCTTTCTTCTGTTCAACGTGGCTTCCAGGCTCTGATTTCCTTACCCAGAATACTCGAGCCCAAGCGAACAAAAGCATATTGTTCTCGGTACTCTAGACAAATTCTCTCCAGACTGTTGCGGTTGTTCTGGTCTCTGTCGGATAGTTTCTACACACTTTCATGGTGAAATGATTCCGGGGGATGAACTGAGACTGGTTGGAAGGACGTTGCCATGGGCTTTGTTGGTGGGGCAGGATGGTTTCAACCCCGCTTCAAAGGGAGGCCAAGCAGAGGCACATGTGCACAGGCCTTCGCGATGCAAATGAGGCAGACCAATGGCAGATGTCTCTGCAGCTGCTACTAACGGCATGCCTCTTGAGGCCGCGGGGGGAAATGAGCTGGACAGTGTCAAGGAGGTTCCTCCCCGCTTGTTTTGGTTCGGCTAGGTTTGCTTCTCAAAACAAAGCCCGGCCTTGCAGCTGTGTGTAAACAGTTGCTGGGCTTTTCTGATGGCGCCCAGAATTTCAGGTGAGTTGCCCTTTCGAATTTCGGGTCGGTTTGAGCTTGTGGGACATGGTGGATTTTGCGATGTAAAGTAGGAAGCAAGTTTTGTCAACTCGGGCGCATGGAATTCCCTTTGCCTCCCCATGTTGCCCGCTGAGTTACCCCAGGAAGCTCACATTGCCAGGGTTTGACGTCCCCACCGGTGGGGCGGTTGTGCACCATTTTCTGCAAGACTTGGTCGAGACGAAGCCGCCCATTGACCATCCATTTGCTTCACCGATTATCATGAAACCTGACAAAAAAGGGGTCTCGGCAACGACCATTTTCCTTTGAAAGGGGCCCCCAAACGTCAGGTTCCATGTTAATTGGTGGGCTGGCATTTCTCATTCTTTCCTTGGCTCCCAACCATCCCCTTGGTTTTTTAGCTGTTTAGTGGGGTTTTCCAAATTTAAACCCACTAAGAGCAACACTGTTAGCAGGAGATCTGTTTAATTAGTGGGGGTGTTCATTTAGTCTAGGGTGATGGGAAAACGGACAGCCCAGTTTCCTGGAGCAAAACAAACAACACGCAATGCCACGTGCCCCCAGTTCGGCCGATTCGAGTTGAACTCAAAGCGGCAGGCTGCCGCCCCAGGCAGCGCGCGTTGGCGCGGCGGCGGCGGCCACTGGCGCGGCGTCCGCTTGGCGGAGTGCCTGGCGCCTTTGGGAGGATCGACGGGTCGGGACGTCATTGGCGTCGGTGTAAGGCTTCCTTTAAGGAACCTCAGGTCAAGACACCCCTTTGATTGTTTTTTTCTTCTTCGAAACGGCTGAACACCAACACCTTCCGAAGGTTCCGAGAACATGTGTGGTTTCGTCTTTGCCAAACATCTTTGACAACCCCAAGAGCATCCCGGAAAACCCTTGCACGGGTTCGCATGTGTGAGAACTATTTTTGGGAGGGGGGATGCTAGTGTTGACAGTACCCGACCTACCCTTTTTCACCCCTCGGCATGCCAGTATATAGGAGCTCTAGCAGCACAGTCAAACCCTTGTCGATTCGACTCGAAATCCAAGACGGAATCGACGGAAGTGGAAACTGTCTTTGAACCCGAGATATTTTGACTTTTGGGCCTTGAAGCCATCTTTTAACAAATCCTATTGGGGTTCCTTTATCAAAGGGTGGAGCAGTTATGCCCATTCTACTTGTTTAAACAGGCCAAGGGCAGCTGGTCAAGCCACAAAGTAGACAGCTGCTGAGGTGAGTAGCCCTGGGATGCAAATGCAACCGATGGGCGTTACTCCTGGTTCTCAGAACGTAAACAGTCCCAAAATACTCTGGCCGGATTTGGCCAGTTAAGAACCTCATGATTTTACCTTCGCGAAGTGTTCGAGTTAATTTCAGCTCATGTACCACTCTTGTTTATGTGTTTCATGCTGCCCAGCATTTAGCGGCACTCATTGCGAATTCCCGGAGTGAGGCGAGGTACTTGAAGGTTCCTTGCTTAGGGATTTCTTAAATCAGATTTGTTGAAGTTCCGGGAGTGCACATTGAGCTTCTACACCTCCAAGGTCTTTAGCTGAACATGATGTGGGTATGATTCTAATTATCGAGGTTTGTTTGGTGGACATCATTTTGGTGGGGATTCATGTCCACCAAGCACTTTCCAGGTGGTGAAAGGTGTTAGGTTTGGAGCCCTGCTCACATGAGCGATAGAAAGCATCAAGCAAAAAGCGACACCAAAGGAAGCTGAGTCAATCCGACGTGATCACATACCCCAGCCTCCCTTTCGATGTTTACTGAGACGTCCCAAAGCGGGCAAAGAACCCGGCGTCGGTTTAGGGAGTCGCAGCACCAGCGAAAGGAGATGCAGATGCTGCAGCTGAAAGCCAACGAAGCGTAGCACAAAAGGAGGGGGGGGGGGGGCGAAAGGCGCCGGATTTCCGGCCAAGTGGCGTGCCATGTTTTGGTGGCATGAGAGCATCCTGCGTGGTTTTGAAGGGAACCACTTGGACACCCCACCTTCTTTGGCGGGATCCCCTAGACGAACCCAAATCGGAAGGTTCTGAGCCCATCCTTGAGTGCTTGTTTGGAGCTACTTTTTCCTCAGGAATAGAAAGGTTAGGAGGAAGGGCTCTAGAGATTTATGATTGGCGGTCTATCTCTGAGCTCAGGAAATAAGGCGCTATGACGCGTAATCCCGGCTATTAATCCGGAATCTTTATGTGAGTGCGGCTGTGTCCTGACTAGAGATGCTGCCGGTGAACAAGCCAGAATGCAACATAATATAATTCCCTTCATTCCAAGTAAATACAATTATATTATTGTAGATCTAGAATGCTTTTCTTGGCAGTCTTCCTCAAATAGCCGTCTATAACCAAGAATTATTGACCATTGACTGCCAAGGAAGAAATCATCCAAGAAGCATTCTATCTCTCATGGACACTCACGAACGAAGGGAGAAAGTGGGAGTGAGAGAGAGGAATGGCAAAGAGAAATGATAGCCGCTCTTCCTTCGTCCTCGCTGACTTTCTCTTCTCCAGTGCATTTTCTGGGGTTTGACGAAGGCAGAGAACAGGAAATGGATGAAGGAAATAATGTCATATCTTTTCTGGGTTTTAATAATAGTGGCTGGTGTCCTGATCAGGTGACGGTTAACTGCCATGTAGCGCATTTCTTTTTACATATTCTTGACGATCGGCTTTGTTTTCCGGCAGGACGACGGTGTGTTTCGTAATTCGGGGCCCTAGACAAAGCGAGCCTTACTCTGTGCTTCCTACCAACTGGGCTGTTCAAAGGTAATCCTTAATCCCTACCTTGGGTTACGCAAGGGATTCCCCTTTGGAGTGGCTTCCCTCTAGGGATTATGGAGAATCGGATTCCCCCTCCATTTTGACCCGGGCAACACCAAACAGGACACCAAGTGGGTGTGGGTCAAAATTGAACCGCCACAAAACGCAGGTTTTAGTCTTTGGTTTCATTTACCAGGGTTCCCAAAATGGGGTTACTCTGCTTTCGACCCACAGCCAAGTGACCTACCGCAGCGCCGGTGCGATCCGAGGAGATCGTGTGCGGCAGCGCGCTGAGGGCCTGCGGTTCGCGGGGGCTTTGGGCGGAGACCTTGGCGCTGAGAAGTGCGGCGAAGGCGCAGCAGGCGAGCTGAGAAGTTTGGGGGTGGGTCGAAATGGCCCAAAAGCAGTGGTTGGTGGGGGGGGAGATTTGGGTTTTGGGCTTTGGGTTTGTTGGGTGTTGGGCGTTTCTCAAAATTGGGGACCAATTTTTCAAGTTCTTTAAGTCATCCAAAAAGGGGCCCAAGTTTTGAGAAGTGCCTGGCTTTGGGCTTTGAGCTTTAAGCGTTGGGCTCTGGGTTTGGTGCTCTCGGTGAACGTCGATGGGCCCGTGTTTTGCAAGCATGTCTCTTGGCTTGGTGGTTCCCAGCCATCCCCTCAGGTTTTTGGCTTTTTAGTGTTTAGTTGAGATTTCCATTTAGTCCTGAAAGTTAAACTTTTAGCAGGGGATGCGAGGGCAGCCCAGTTGGAGCACGCATCTCTTTCGGGACTGAAAGCAAGATCCGACAGGCAGGCAGATGGAGACATTGGGACAGCGGATCCACGGGAGTACCATACTATGATATAGAAGCACAACGTGATCTACTCTCTCAAACACAGGAACATGTAGATATACATGTTCACATATATATATATATACACACATGAATTAAGGGATTTCTGCTGCGTGCGTTTTGGTTTCAGGGAGTCGCACCAGCGGACCTGCGCCCCTTACTAGTCCCATGCGGAGGTGATGCAGGCTCTGATGAGTAGCCTTCGCATGGGAACGGATCGGGCCGACACAACTCCAAAAAAGTGGCGCCATGAATCCCCGAGAGGACAGCTTGGAACACCAAAGCTAGCAAGAACACGTTGAACTTCGAGGAAGACACAGCACGAGAAGTGAAGATGCAGCTTTTCCCTCACGCCTATTGTGGCTACACTCGTGCGCAGCTTGCTACAGGGCCAATGTTTGGCTTTGACACGTCAAGCACAAGGGTTTGGCGTTCACCCTTGAAGCGCATGTTTGAGTCGGTGAAACCTTTAGACCTACTTATACATGGACATGTATTTATCTACGTGTTGAGTTTCACCAGTGATTCAAGCCAGCAGATAATCTCCTCCTTATACATGGACATGTATTTATCTACGTGTTGAGTTTTACCAGTGATTCAAGACAGCAGATAATCTACATAGCCATAGTAGTAACCACGGGGGGGATACTCAAGTATATAGCAGGCTTCGGGTTTCATTCACTTTGTTTTGCAGCGCCGTGATTGCTTGTGTGTCTGGTCCTTTGCGTGTGCGTTCATTTGTGCATTCCAGGTATCCAACGCCATTTGCGAGAGCATGGTGACTTTGGCGTGTGAGCAGGCGAGAATGACTCGCCGATCTGGGCACGCACTACGGACATTTCCTTGAATTGATGGTCCGTGGAGTGAACATGGGCAGCAGTTGCCGAGTTCCAAACAAGGGCAAGCAGTTGGGCATGCGTCAGAGGTATCGCGCTTGGACAGGACTGATTTCATGTTGGGGCGTTTTTCAAAAGTGCCCCCCCCCCAGTTTTTGACACCTATTCAACTCAAGGCCACTTTTTTTGCATCCGAACGCGAGGAGTCTGACACACATTTGTGTCCATAGTTGTTGAAGGGCACTGCCGAGTGACTGAAATGACCTTGCGACGAGAAATCCCTCAGTGAGGAAGCTGATTGTATTGTAGGTATTTCCAAGAAGGGAGACCCTGCAGAAATGCTTGGTTTCTTTTTGGGTACCTTTGGCACCCGCCCAAGAAGGCTCCTTTTTGGGAAGCGCCTGTGTGGAAATCACTCAGTGAGTCCGTCCCTTCCAAAGTGGGTACCATGTGGTATGCGGGTCGCGCCTCCGGATCCAACAAAACACATCGATGGATGGACGCTCCAAAACCCGTTTCCGTTGATGCGGCCATCCATCTTGGTTGCAGTATGGCGCACATTTTCCTTGTTGTGTCCATGCAACTACCAAACATTAACGCACCCAGACATCCCCACATGTCGGTGTCAAGGGGATTTGGATTTGCCCAAGACTCATGGTAGCAAACCAACAGGTCAGGAAGCTTTCCGCACCTGGTGATGACAAGTGGACCTTCTCAGCTTTGCATTGTGGCTTGTCTGGTTCCCCACACTCCCCTGCTGAATTGAAACGTGAAACCAAATGGAAACACCCATTTTGGGCGTTCCAAGCCCACGGAAAGCCACCCGATTCCTCGGGAGCCAGGACCATGGCTGGAGCGGGCACTTAGCTCATCTCTTACCTCACCCCCCAACCCCACCCCCCACCCCACCCCCCACCCCACCCCCCACCCACCCCCCATTCCCCCCACCCCTCACCCCACCCGGCCGGGCCGCCAGTCCTTCGGAGGCCTCGCTGTGGCGCTGCGCCCTGGCCACGCTGCCCTCAGAGCCCCCGATGGATGCCACGGCCATGGCGCGCCGCCCAGCCAACCGGGGGCTGTCTCTACGAGCGCGGCCTTCGGGGGTTTGGGGCTGGCCGGAGCACAAGAAGCACACGGGTGGGCCAAACCCAGGGTGTTTGGGGCCTCGCTTTCTGGGTTGGGACTTTAAAGCACACCGGGTTGAACCAGCCACTTAACTAGGTCCCCCAGTATACCCTTGTTCTAACCTCTCCACTGGAGGACCTAGGCGTTTTGGGGCCTCAATTTCTGGGTTGGACTTTACACTTGGGAAGGCCATTTTAGTGGCACTCAGGAAGTGATGGGGCTGTAGGCAAACCAAAAGGAAAGCACCACGTGCGCCACTCATTGGTGGTGGCATTGTGGCAACCGCAAAACGCCACCCAAGTCAGTCTTTTTGACCCTCTAAATCCGTTTTGTTTGGTGTAGGGAGGAAACCACTCACAAAATGGCGGCGGTTTCTTAGTTTCTGGGTGCCTTCCCTTCTTGGATGCCTTTGATCAGAGAGTGGCTGCCCTTTCTACCGGAATTCGCAGGGTTCCAAATTCTTTCTGCGTCGACCAAACTGAGAATGTCGGGCTCCCCACAAAACTGCTCGGTGGGTCGACCAATCCAAACCTGGGCAAGGCAGCTTACCCGGTGGTTTGGGGGACTTGAATCCTTTGTGAGACATGGGGTTTAACCCTCCAAGGCATCATCTCTCCAACGCAAGCGGTTCTTTGTGTCTTTTGGGCCCCTTTTACTGGGGCTGGGTTCGGGGGAGGGACGCACCTTGAAAGGGGGGTTCATCAAAAGGTCCTCTACATCGGATGCCCATTCCGGGAAACCAAAAGAATGGCACTTTCCGCTACATGGGAAGAGTTACCCATGGTCCTTTGGGGGCCCTAAGATCCACCCCTAGATCCGTTTGGGGAAGAGGGGAGCTGCGTTTGAGGCCATCGGCGCCTGTGGATCCTTGCGGAAGTGGGCCTTGGCGCTCTTCCTGCGGGCAGGAGCGGGGTGGAGCGAAGCGGTGGGAGCGGCTTGGGGAAGTGTGGGGTCTCCTAAAAAAATAGAATTAACAAAGAAACAACATATAAAAAATAGCACAACATATTTAGGGCAGGCGAGATGTGGAAGCATCTGAATATTTGATTGCCTATGCAGTCCAGTAGTGAAAGAAGTGGAAGAGGAAGAAGCCGAGGAAGTAGACTCAGGAGAGGAAGGAGAAGGTCAAGGTGTGACAGGGCAAGACGACGAGCGACTCAACCAAATGTACCAGCCTCAAAAGGCAACACACTTAGTCTTCCTTGATGTTCAAGAGCACAGAAAACAACCCACGGCAAGCACAATCAGGGTCAGGGATTATTGAATCCATGCAGCCTGGGTGACCTTGTTGCCCCAGGCAGGTCCCCTCATTAGTTGGTTGATTTGGTGGCAGTTGATTGGATTGATGCCATGGAACTGTGAACCTATCTTGAAGAGGCACATCAAGGCCAATCCCAAGTGACGGAAAAGACCTGAGGCAGATCAGATCGTTTCACCTGGTGCCGCCTTTGAATTGGCTTAGCCGGCTGGCTTTCGCAGACAAGCAAATGAGTAGGGACTTGGCCAGAAGTGGACCTGCGTTCGGAAGATGGAGCTAACTTCCTGGAAGGGTAGGTGCCACTGGAATCTGAGTTGGTCCGTCTTGGCTCCTCAGCTCCCTGTGTGACAAAAACAGGGAGTTGGGCCAGACCCAAAATGGCTGGGTTGTCCTATTGGTTTCTTCTTAAACCAAGCTGAAAAGGGATAGCCTGGGCAAAGACACACCCAGAAACATAGAGGAAACATAAACAGTAGTCCTTTTGAGAGACACCTATGGCTTCCAGCTTGCACCACAGGATGATTACGTAGTATAATATGAGGGATACTCAGGACATGTATCATGGAACCCATTGGTTAGAACCCATTTGACAGGGTGCCCGATTTTTTCCACAAGGTCGGTTTAGACGTCACCGGCCTTTTAGGCACATAAACAGCGCGAGTCTCCTTCTCTGGCGATGTTTATTGACGGCACGCCCCAGTTCCTGTCCTGGGGGAATTCTTGCGGTCCCCAATTTGGTGCCTTTTCCCCTTGGCTAGGGAAATGAAAAGGACCACCAAGAAGAAAGTGTCCCAAATCCCAAGGCTCCAGATCTCGAAAAGGCGAACTTCCATTTGCCCAAGAACATGTTGTATTTTCCCCTGTTGGTTTGGAAGGGAATCTATCACTACCGGACATAGCTTTCTCTACTTTTTGTTTTTACTTAATTTTTTGTCCAAAGGGAAAAACCCCCGGGGTCTGGGCCAACTGGAAGTGACCGCGATGTTGGCAGGCGACTCCGAGTCCGGGACCCGCGCGGCGCTGGGCTCCTGCGCCAGCGCGGGGCGCTGGGAACTGGCGCTGCAGCTCTGCGGCGGAGGCGCCACGGAGCCAGGAGACGGCGCGGGTAGGCGCCACGGTTCAAAACCAAGTCACTGGGGGAGTGGGATTGGGTTGGGATTGGGAGGTTCACTACACCAATGGGATCCCGATCCCATTTTGGGTAGGTGAATGCACCACCCATTTTGGAGCCTATTTTAGTGGGCATTGGGATGTTCACTGGTACAGGGCTTTGACCCATGGCCGTTTGAGCTTGGCTTTAGTCGATTGGCTGTGGCTCAAAAAACCGGTACAAAAAATGGAACCTTGGCAAGTGGAAACTTCTGAGTATGCATACATGGGCGTGGCTCAAAATTCAAGAGCTTGGGTTCTGCAGGTGTTGGTCTTTGTTTCCAGTTGCCAGGGTTCCATTTTGGGTTCTTCGAGCCCTTTGCAGCTGCACCCACAATTGAGGTCAGGTTTCTTCGGCATGGCTTAGAATTTGTAAAACAGGGAACCCCCCGCCTCAAAGCAGTTGGTGGACGGGAATCCCAACCCAAATGCCGAACACATGTCAAGCGGAGCGGTGGTCAAGTTTGATGCCCCATGAAGCGGAGGGGCAACTTTCACCCCACCCCATTTCATTTGGGAGGTGCTTGTATACGGCAACACGCCTCTGCGACCCCCCAAGTTTGACGAACTCCCCGTGTCCTTCCCAGTCGCCAGATCTGCAGAAAAGGACGCCCAGTCACTGGACATTCCTATCCCATGCTTGCTGACAGCGAGGGGTTGAACATCGGGAGGCCTCATTCTAAGCTGTTCTTTCCATTTCCCCTTGTAAGGAATGAAACAACAACAATGAGCCATATCGGTTTTTGTCGGCTCGATTTTTTGCAGGCTGGGGTCAGCTGCTTTTGTCAGCTCGTGAGCCCAGCGGATTGGACTACACCTAGGTAACCAAGGAAACCAGGGTAAAACCAGTGGCTTGCCTGGAACATGGTTGGTTCTTTTGCCCAAAAAAAAGCATTTCCCAGCGGCAAACATGCAGCCCCTGGGCCCTGGGCTTAGCGCGACGGGCTGAGCACGTGTGGGGTGGGGCTTGGGGGTGGGGTGGGGGTTTGTGGGGGTTTGGGTGTGGGGTGTGGGGTGGAGTGTGGGGTGGGGCAAGCCTGTTGAATTTGTAAAATGGAAACCCAAAAAAGCCACCCTGGAAGACTGGCCATTCGCAGGAGTGCACGGAGGACTTCGCGCAGTGGCGAAGGCGGGCAAGCAAAGAAGAGGGGTGGATTATTTGTTGTTCTCAAGAAAATGCAGACCGCGCCCCCCCCCGCTCCGCTATTTAGCACTGCACGCAGTTCTTGGCCCATTTTCTGAATCTTGGCGGTCGGAACGCCCCGAAAAAGGGTGAGGTGGACGTACGTGATGCCCACCATTCCAAGTACTGTAGGACATCTCTTTTTGCATCTCTTTTGGTGGCCTTAATTTGCCCCTTATATAAATAAAGAGGGGCTCTACTCCAACGCGAGGGCCCATCTAAACCTTGGGAGCCATTTTAGTAGAGCCAGGACTCAAGCGAAATACTCCATCGTAGCAAAAAAATCTGCCTCCCCCCTGGTTCGATACACAAATTGACACGTTGTAGCGTTTTTTCCTCCACAATTCACAATTGCTTTCGAGCATTTTTTTCGGATTCGAGCAGAAATCCAGTTCTCTAGTTTAATATAATATCCCCTCACAGGCGCGAGTTTGGGAAGAGTCTTCAACGAAACGAGCGCAAAAAAAGTGCAAACGAGCGCAAACCGGCGCAAAAAAGTGCAAACACGTGCAAACAAGCGAAAATCCCAAACATGGTACAGGGAATGGGTTCCGACGGGCGCATGATTGCTGACAACTCGAGCAATTTTTGTTGAATCGTATATTTGTTTTTTTGAACGAGCAGAAATATTTCGAGCAAAAATTAACGTATCAATGGAGGCTGCAGGTTAAGTACCAAGGTAGTACATGAACAGCATTTCCGGAGGCGCGGCTAAAAGTAGCACGCGAAGTGCGCTCCCGCAGTGCTTCGGCTGAAAAGTACGTGAAGAGCTTTCAGAGAGCTCCGGCTGCAAAATCGCAACTTTTAAGTGCGTAGTGCGCGAAGTGCGTTTCCCTGGCTCTGGCCAAAGTTGTACGCGAAGTGCATTCCCGCAACAGCTCCAGCTCCGGCTGCAAAGTCGTAAGTGTTTTCGCGCAAAGGTAGCGTGCGAAGCGCACTCTCGCAGCTCCAGCTCGAACATCGCAGCTTCGCGAATGTGATGTTCGGAAAGTGCGCTCTCGCATCTCCAGCTCGAAAATCGCAACTTGCAGACGCAAGAGTAGTCTAGTGTGCCAAGTACACTTCTGCGACTAAAACCGCCAGTCTTCTCGCGCAGCCAAAACTGCACGCAGATATATGGACAAGAGAGGTTGACAAGAGAAAGGGGCATGAAAGGTTGGGTGGGAGAGGTTGCGCAGCATCATGCGCGAGAGGGACCGTTACGAACAGCATCACGCGCAGCATCATGCACGGCGTCGTGCGCAACGTCACGCGCAGCATTGTGTGCAACATCATGCCTGCGCAGCATCATGCGCAACATCACGCGTAGCTTCACGCGCAGCAGCGTCAAAACGCAGCGTAGCGCGCGAGAGAAGTTGACAGAACAGATGTTTTTTCCCGAAGCGCGGCGCCAGGCTTGCTCATCATAACTTGCAGAAGCTACGAAGGGACATTGATGTGTTTACGCTTGTTTTCACCTGCAGCGGGAGGAGGTGTCAGAGTTGTTTATTTAACGTCTTTCTATGCTTCTGGCCCACCCGTCGTCAAATTTTACCCAATAATACTATTTGGGGTCTCTTGCCAGGATAATTGTTTTTGTTTTTCCCCCAGCTTTCGGGTTGCAACTTTGCTGATCACTGTAGTTCATGTTGGCGAGCTGCTGGTAGATGTTCACCCAGATTTGTGGTATTGTTTTGTGGTTGGAAGGGGGTCATTACAAATTCCCAGATCTGCTAAAATTAGTCAACCAACAAACAGGGCTCCGTTTGTCTACTGTTTGGTTGCAGCGGGGTTGAGCAATTCCTCTGCGTCATTGACCACTTAGCTGATCTCAGGCTGCTTGATTCTCAGCAAACTTATTCCTTAGGGCAAGGCTCGTCCTTCTACTCTTCAAACAAAAGACATGGAACATGACTGAAGCTCCTTGGGGCGTATTCCTCTTTCAGAGCTAAGTGCTCCGCCTTGGCGGCTGCTGGGTTGGATCTTGATCCTTCGGGGGTAGCGCCACATAGCCACATAGCCATGGTCTCACTTAAGCGAATCGACCTTGGGGTTTCTTTTGGTTTTTGCTTTGGTCCATATTCAAAAAGGTCCAAAAGGTTAACCTCGCATATCCAGGTTTTGGGGTTCCAAACTTGACCGACTTGTTCTACGCGCCAAGGGGTCCTCTGACGTTTATTGGGGCGGGGACGATGCTTTCAGCTCGCAGGGCCGGCGATGGCCTGTGGCCTTCCAACTGCTGCGGCGCATGCCGCGCTGGCGCCTCGCCGCCGGCCCGGCGGCCCGGCGACCCGAAGCGCGACTTCCCGAGGGGAGCGTCAGAAAGATGGCTCAAAGGTGGTACCACCAGACCCCTGGAAAACATATATCCCTCAAGGACAAGACCAAAACCAAGGGGGCAAATTAGGGGTTTTGCGAAGCTCTACATAAGTTGCCTAACCGTCATATGTTTCTTTGGGGTTTGGTCTGGGACCGGGAAGTCTTTGAGCGGCTCCTTGGTCGAAATTGGGGGGAGGGTAACCCTTGGTTGAACATTTCAAGCAAGTGCTTATCCGCCAGCCAGGGTTCCTCGACTTCCCATACCTTCAAAGTGGCATATGCTCATTGGAATCCCCCTTGGATTCTGTAGAGGGGCTGGCCGATTGGGGCCCACCATAATAGTGTCGTTTTGGTTTCTGACAGGGGTCCCCAGTTTTGAGAGATACCCAATCAAATGCACAAGAGTGCCCCTGAAGGAAAGAACCTCTCGCCACATCGAGCATTGAGCAAAAACCCTGTTGAGAAGCGGACGCTTTGGGCCACGGACAACTCTGGGCAGTTGGGAAGTCACATCTCCAGCTTCAGGAAGATTCCTCCGCTGTTCAGAGTGCACCTTTGGAGGGATAGGCTTACTCAGATTGGAGCAAGCAAAAAGGGGTTTGTGGTTGCGGGGGGTTACATGAGGTTGACCAGGGGGTATTCCCAACGTATTCTCGCAGTCCTTCCAAGCACTTAAAGCTGAAACCCAACGTTGTCAGCCAATGGACAAATTCCCATCAAGCAGCTAGATGACGTTGACTTACACAAATTTCTATCCACCAGAACTATTACGGTTGGTCAGGGTGCTTTTCACCGACACATTGCTAAGTGCTATAGCTTCAGCCACGGTCCAGGCGATTTTGAGCCCAACTTTCTAGTATTTCCGTGTCCTGGCACGGCACATGGGTAACATTGCGAACATTGGTTATCCTTTGGGCTATGTTTGGAGTTTTTGCAATACAAGACAGGTGGGCAACAAACGAACACAATGTCCGAATTCTGCTTGGATTTATCCAGCAGCACCCTGTCAAACCCCTGAAGTTTACTTCAAACGTAGAAGGCCTGAAGGTTTGCTCAGGCGAGGTGTCCTACTCCATTGCGCTGGATGCATGTGACACAGGCAGGACTAGCGAGTGAGCTGTGCAGCTTGTGGGCCGGCAGAGCAAGAAGCCGGGTGAAACTGACGTGACTATCACTCCCCTTGCTTACCGGCTTAGCATTTTGTTTTGCTCCC